ATCAACGACCAAATTTCTTCTCAACGGCTGCAAACCGGATTCGCTCATCGAGGACGTGCAAGATCACGACCTCGACAAGCGGAGGGACTAAGTGTATTGGTCTAAATTTGGACGGCTTGATTACTGCAAATAAAACATGGTCAAGGATAGAGCCGACCACGGCACAATGTCGAGGAGTCATCTTAAGAAGGATTATTGTCGAGGTCAAGCAATGGTAGGATAGTTTAGCAATAGATATAAGAAATATTCCATTAGATATTCCTTAGGTTGTACTTGTTTCTTGGGGATAAGCCGATGTCTCCACCTCATTAGCCCGCTCGGACCTGCAAACACGGAAGGCATCATCTAAGGCCTCCGCATCAGCCATAACGGCCATTCGGCCTTTCTCGGCCCGACTTAATTCTTCGATCTTGGCACTCAGCTCACCCCTCAAATCGATAGCCCTTGCCTCCCTCTACCCGAGCTCAGCCGTTAAGGTCAGCGTTCTCAGCCATCACCCCCTAACTCACCTCGAGCTCGTCCTCTATGGCCTTTAGTGCTGCCTCAAGCTCGCTGCACCTACTGATGGCCCTCATAAGCTCATCGTCCCTCTCCCTTAGCTCTTTGTCTTTCTTCATCAGCTCATCATCTTTCTGTTTGAGCCTATCACGAAGCGACTGAAACTCGCCATCCTAGCTAAGGAAGTCGGCTAACGTTCGGTGCTTAGTGCGGTATTCCTTGTACTTGGAGGTCATCTTCTTAAACATGGTTGTCCTCCGCTCCTCCCGCCGGTAGCGCTCGACCCCCATGATAAGAGTTTGATGCAAAATAAGAAAGGGAAGTCAGTGTAAGCATATTACGCATACGAAATAAACCTTACCTAACATGGAAAATCACTTACTCGCAGGGCCATGCCAGACATGCCCAATGATAGGTCCACATCGTTCATCATTTGCAGTGCCGTATTCTCAGAAGCCGCGCACAGAGGAGCAAAAGCCGGTACCGCCCGTTCTGAGTTGCCCAAAAGATCATAGTCTGCAGGGATGATTATGTGCCGATTAGGACCCTCCGTCCTTATCTCCACACGAGTATCCCTCTCTATGAAGGTCCGAATCTCCTCAAGGTCGATGTCCGAGCCAGATTTTTCTTCCCCTGCAGGAACAACTCTGCTCCCCCTGACCTCCGATGATGAGCCACCTTCTGCGGCTCGTATAAACCCTCCGCTATCAGGAACCCCCTCAGCCCTAGAGGGTCTCCTCTCCATGACGACACTTGCCGTAGAAACAACCTCAACGTCTGGTATGAGCGCAGGTTCTGCCTCCATGGCAACGAATTTTCCGGCTCAACGTCAGCCACAATGGCCTTCCCGATCTCCACCCTTCACCTTTTTCTTGACAATGTCTCCTCGCCATTAGATGGTTCATCTACAAGGTGAAAGATGGGCTGAGAAGAGATCTCATCCTGCACGGCAACAGTTTGAGGGGTGGAGTCCCTCATTGGTGGAGCTTGAGTCTGACCTCCTCGAGTCGACTCGGCCAAGGCAAATTGCATTCTAACCGACGCGATAGCTTGGCGAAATACAGGCACTGGAGCCCTCTTCTTCTTGGAAACTCGCCGACCTGGCACCAAAGGGGGGCCGCATCAAAAAGCTATGGTGAACAACAATAAGCTGAGGTAGAAATGATTACTGGACGGGGTCTTGGGTCCAAAACGCTTGTGAAAGGACGCCCAATCGCGAATTCCCACGGTGTGGGGTAACACGCGAGCCACCCAATCTTCAATATCAAAGACGGGAGAAGGTGCACGCCTCACAGCTGAAAAACAAGGAAGCCACGAGTAAGTCGAAAATGAAAAAATGAAGGAAAATAATGAGCATATGGCGAGATACTTACGATTATAGTTCAATTGTTCGGGAAACCCAGTGGGATTCGCCACCAGGTGCTCGGTCTTGACGAAGAAGTACTTATGCCAGAACCGTCAGTTCGTCTTATCATCCATCCCAGCCACCAACCCTTTGATCCCACGATGCCACAGATGTATCAATGTACCTCTATAAAAGCTAGGCGAAAATAGATGCAGTAGGTGGCGAATGTTGACCTCGCAACCGACCAACTCTACATACTTCGCCAGCATCAGAAAAACTTTGTACAAATAAGGGGAGAGTTGCGCGGGGTAGACGTTGTAAAATCGGCAAAATTCCTCCGCTAATGGGGGAGAGGAAGAGAATAACCGATTAGGAATGGATAGACGTAGAAAGCACAATACCTGGGTCGGTGAACCTCTACGATGTCACCCCCGGCCGGAACAATTTTGACGTGAGGAGGAATGCGATATTTAGACCGGATGTCGGCTATTTGAGGAAGGGCCACCGGTAAAGGAGTGACATCGGAAACTTCGTCGTGGATATGAGGGGATGTTGACATATTTACGTGGTGAAACAAAAACGACAAAGTCTGAAGAAGAAGATATCAACTGGGCAAGAAATCAGGGACTAGAATTGAAGAGGCTGCAAGAGATTGAAAGCGGAGATCGATGAAGAAGATCAAAGAAAACAATACACATGCGAAATGAGAAATGATGAAAATCTTCGAAAATGAAAACCCCTCCATCTATTTATAGGGCTGGGTGGCACCAGAATCGAAGCAAAGGACCATCAATAGCACCAAAATTGAAACAACATCTGCATGGGGAAAACGCGCAATGATGGCGCGCGTGGTCATGACGTCACCCCGTGTTAGCCACGCCAGTCGCAGCCCCGCTGGCTATGCTGGTTTTTCGACCTCTGACCGATTCGATTCAGTCAACACGACCAAATTTCTTCTCAACAGCTGCAAACCGGATCCGCTCATCGAGGACGTGCAAGATCACGACCTCGACAAGCGGAGGGACTAACTGTATTGGTCTAAATTTGGACGGCTTGATTACTACAAATAAAACATGGTCAAGGATAGAGCTGACCACGGCACAATGTCGAGGAGTCATCTTAAGAAGGATTATTGCCGAGGTCAAGCAAAGGTAGGATAGTTTAGCAATAGATATAAGAAATATTCCATTGGATATTCCTTGGGTTGTACTTCTTTCTTGGGGATAACCTTTATAAATAGGAAGAGATGGATAACAAAAGGGGATCTTCTTCCGCACTTTTTGATAAGAGCACTTGTAAAGGATTGACTATAAAGAATATACAAAAAGGCTTGTCTTGTTCTATTGCTCAACACACTCTTTGTTTGCAAGATCCAAAGATTCCCTATCCATATTCATTTATCTTTATCCCGCGTTGCTGTCAGGAAGAAGAATCACCCAAACCATCTAACATTTGTGTGATAAATTCATCTTTATTACATTTATTGCCATTATCTGCATTTATTGCATGTTCTTATTATAACATTCATTGACATTCATTGAATACATATCTGATCTTTGTTACTCATAAACACGATCTCATTCCACGAATCTGTCCAAGTTTTTTATTTAAAATTTATTATATCTAACTAGGATTCACCCTCTATTCCCTCATTAATTAGTTTAATAAAAAGCTAAACACTTTTTGATCAAACACAAGGTAAGCCCCAAAAATCGACTCTTGTTGACAATCAGACACTCCATAAGAAGATCCATATCACCTTTTAATGCAGTTGCTTTAATTGTAGAATAAAAGAAAATAATTTCACGTAATTATAGCAATAAAATAGTTTTACTTATATTGGTTCAAATTTCAGTTATACATTTAGAGGATCAAGTAATGAAATGTACGAAAGCTCTTAGAAACTGATTCACAAGAAGAATATCACATTACTACTTAAAAGTTGGATAATCAAATAACTTTGATCCTTGTAGAAAAATGTAAAATAAACAGGACAAAATTATCCAAATTTGTCATTACATTATCCAACATTGCTTAATTTTGTCATCTATTACTATTTGAAGAATTAACCAAAATAACCATCCAGCCAACCGCTTAAATTAAAAATATACTGCAGATGTCCGGTTATATAATCATACTATATTATAAACATGAAGATCAAAAGTTGAATGACCAAAATAACCCTATAAATTAAGTGACTGTGATACTCATAAAAAAATTATACCTTCATAAATAAGTACAAAACCTTTTGGTTCCTTCAACCTTTTGCGATTAATATTTCAAAATTCTTGTATAATTTTGCATAACTACGGAAAAAAATTCTTCTTGTTATGTTTTTATTATTGTCAGTTGCTTCTTACTTAATTATACACAAAATGTTACAAACATTTAATTCTTCCATTCTTTACAAAAATATCATGTATAAATAAGTATTAGTTTCTTATTTTATTTGTTGCACGAATCATTTCGCTGAAACATCAAAATGGAACAACTTCAAGAACAATATCTACAAAGAAATATTAGGTGAAATATACGGTCATATTATATGTTTGTAATTCATAACAACTAAATTAATGTAATTATAAAATACACTTGTCTAACTAACTATAATTATTGATTTTCGCAGGGCTAATATTTTACATGTTTTAATAATATTTTAATTTTTTTTTACTGCTTGTACGGAATAACACGTGCAATGCATGTATCAAGAAACTAGTTGTGTAAAATGTATGTATACCGGCTAGAGAAAGCAAACAGTAAATTTCACCGGTTATTTTTGGCCCATTCCTTTTCTTATTAGGTTAACCATTTGATATCTTAAATTTACTAATACAATTAATTCATATTTGCATCGCATAAAACTCCAAAATGTAGCTTCTGATTACGGACAAAGGGATTCCATCCATCCCACCACATCATTTGTTTTTCGTCCATTCATTAAATCATATTGTCATCATTAGCAACTTTTCATTAATCATTAATGCAGCTCAATTAGCGGACTCCATCTTGAAAAAGGTCCAAATTTATATCTCAAATATTTACTGTGATTAAAACTATGAAAAAAACGTCAAGGAACAAAGAAAAAAAAAAGACTTTCCCCTAGGGTAGTTAACATTAAACAAGGGCAGTTAATATTGAACCAAATATAATGGAGATTATGAGATTAATATGTAAATAGAAAGTGAGGTAGCAGTGAGCTCCTCCAAGTAGTATATCCCAACCCCCAGACCTCTGCAGTTAGAATCTCATCCCCTAATATTTCCAAAAAAATTCCAGCATTTAGATCCCTTTAAACTTGTCGCAATGAACTATTGAGAATTTTACAACTACATTCTACTGCCATTACTGTGATTTCTACTTGTCTCAAATCCTCATTTTGCCCACGCGATGCAGTTTCAAATTGAGCTCAGCTTTAATTTGGCCTAAGTATAGTTTGGATGCGAGTTAATTTAGAATATGATTGAGCAGTTCATCAATTTTGTTATTCGTCCCCCGAGGTGAGTGCGTTTAATTTCCTTTTTGTCTTTTTTTTAGGGCACTGTTTGAGGATTAAATTGAATTTTACTCTAGTGTTGCGTATTTTACTTTTTATTTGATTATTTGTATGCTTAATTGGATAATGTAGGTTTTTGATTGCATAGTCCATGTTAGAATATTTTATCTTTTTTTTTTTTTTTTTTTTTTTTGCTTCGCATTATAGCTCATAAGTTCATTCTTTGAATCTTTTCCCCCTTGTAAAGTACTAAAGTAAGTGAAAACGAAGATTAGTTAAGTCATATGTAACTGTATCAGAATAAATTAAACAAATTGGAATGATACAGTGAAGATTAGGATTGGCCCCTGAGCAAGCACAAGTCGAGATATGCTCCTGATGCTTAGCACCTAACGGTGTGATGTAGTCGCCAATAGAGTGGAAGGAGAATTATGAGGTCTCATGTTCAAATCCCAGCAGAGACAAAAAATACAGGTTATTTCTTCCTGTCAGCCTAAGCTTGGTAGGTAGTGCACGTCACAGGCGTGATGAAAGCCTACTATTTTGACGAAAGCCCATTATCTACTGAGTTTTGAACTATATGCCATGGCCATCGAGATTTCTCGGTTATTCAGGAAAAAGAAAGTAAGTTATATGTAATTGTATCAGAAGAATAGAAAAGAATCAAAGATGGAGGCCTTTTTATTCTTTATATAGCCCAATTCTTCATCTTTTCCTGCTGAACCAATCGAAATTTTTGTTGCTGTAAAAGGTTGTGCAAAATGAATGAGAGAAAGAAGGCAGGCTGAGAGACTGCATAGACTTAAGTGGAGGTGTCATTTAATGTAATAAAAAAGGCACATCATGCAATTGGGAATTTACACATGCCCGCCTGCCACAATCCACCTCCTTTATCTAGGTTGGGACCAGCAATGTGAGCAAGCTCACACTAGCGGAGTTTTTTTTTGAAAATGGTAACAATGTATTCATCAGCATTAAGGAACTGTTGGCCACCCTATTTACAGTTCAGCTAAACAGAGTCTTGTTCATCTTACAAGAACTACTTATAATTCTTTACAATGATCCTAGAAAATCAAGTAAAGATTCAGCACCCTCTACATAATTTTCTGTGCACACTAGCGGAGTTAAAGAAAAAATTAGTGAACTAATACATTCTCTATGTATTTTCATAATATTGACATGACATGAGTTTAAACGGAGTAATTCAGTAATATGGTTAGTGAGAATTCATACAACGGACCTCAACTTGTTTGGGACCGAGGCTAGCAGAAGTAGTTGTTGTTGTATACACTACTATGCATTAAAATTTTAAGATATGCCTGCAGTGTGTTTGCCATTGCTTTTCTAGGTCCATGAGTTTTCAAATTATTCAGTCAACTCTTCTAACTAGGTCTCCAGCTTGAGTTATGGTGCAATCACTGCTCCATTTTTTATTTGGTCTTCGATGCAATAACCTCTAACCTAATGCTATAAAGTGTCAATCTATTATCCTGAGTCTGTTTAGTTGTTTGATAGTTCTTAAGAGGTTTGTCAACTGCTCTCCATTGTATAACAGGGCAGATTACAATCCAGAACAGTTTTTATGGGAGAAAGAGTTTAGTGTTGGGGGAAGAAAGTACAAAAGAGAAGACTTTGAGGCAAGTATGGTCACCTCTTACCTAAAGTGGTCACACTTGCTTGTTTGTGTTGTCATGGTCTTCTAATTAATTTGATTATCCTTGTTTCACCTATCTTCTTCTTCTTCTTCTTCTTCTTTTTTTGCAGCTTAAGAATGAAAGAGGGCATACCTTGCAATGCAGTCATTATACTCCATCATCATTTCCTGATGGTGCTCCTCTTCCTTGTGTTATATACTGCCATGGAAACAGGTTTACTGTTTGCATCTATGACTTTTAGTTCATTGAAATGAATGCTAATCTGTTTAGGCTATGAGCAGTTTATGAAAGTCAAAATATTAAATATTCAATAATTAAGTGTTCCATTAGTCTTGTTAGGCTGTGGACCTGTTTTATACAGTCACATACATTTTAGTATGTTAAGTATTGAGTAAATACGTACTCAAATGCATCATCTTTTCTAACATATTGTTCCCAAGGTTGAGCTTTTACTAACTTTCTGGACCCTGCAGCGGCTGTAGGGCTGATGCGAATGAGGCAGCTGTAATACTTCTTTCATCAAACATCACTGTTTTAACCCTTGACTTTTCTGGTTCGGGCTTGTCAGATGGTGATTATGTTAGTCTTGGTTGGCATGAGGTACTTCCTTTTCCTTGTCTTGCATGAATTATTTTAGTGGTGCTCTTGATATATGAAAATTCTTCGTTTCTTTTTCAGAAAGATGACCTCAAGGTAGTTGTGTCACATCTGAGAAGCAACCTGAAAGTATCACGCATAGGTCTATGGGGGCGGTCAATGGGTGCAGTTACAAGGTATATCACTTTGCACTCAACTGCTCGTTAATTTGCAGTCCAAGTTCTTCTGAAAGACAAGTTAGATTTTAGCAGACAGTTTGGCAATGGTTCTGATTTTTACGTTTCTCACTAATTCCATGATCACGATTTTAGTAACTTTGTTCAATGTCCAGCCTTCTATATGGAGCGGAAGATCCTTCTATTGCTGGAATGGTCTTGGATAGTGCTTTCTCTAACTTATTTGATCTAATGATGGAGCTTGTAGATGTCTACAAAATCAGGCTTCCTAAATTCACTGTATGGATCTCCTCCTTTTCCGTAAATGGACATCTATTATGTGATCTTAAATAAGTACTTGCATATTTATGATTCTTTCTCAGAAAGGGGGGTTAAAAAGAAGTTCTTTGGTATTATGGTAGAAAAGGTAGTTATAAGTCATACCATGCTTGATGTGTGGTAAGAGCACAACGCATGATGTGTTGGTTAGGCACACATCACAGGTTCAAACTCTGCCTTAGACAAAAGCCTTGTATTTAAGTGGAGAAGGCTAGAGGGGCAGGTCCATATCCACCGAGTTTCGAACCATGCGCCACTGGCTCTCAGGAATTTCTTGGTTATAAAAAAAAAGCCGTACTATGATTGTTGTTTAATGAATCTGCATGTGGTCAGATATGGTTTTTAGAATTTTGGGTTTGCAAGTATGATTTACGCTGCTGTACCGACGATGTTTCTGCTTTATGCCTGTGTTTTAAGTACTACAAAGTTTTATGGATGCGCCGAATAGGTGTTTTACCCCTGAATGTCTAGTCAACAGCTGCGTCTCCACATACCAAACTCCCCATTCTTTTGATTTGCGCCTCCACATACCAAATCTTTGGATTTTATAAATCAGTTGAAAGACATTGGAGGTATTCTCTGTAATGTGATATTCCACCCAAAAGTTTGCTTTTGTTTTTAGAAGATGACACGCCGCCACTAGCACTCAATTATATGCTATTCCTTAATGTGTTAGTTTCACCATCTTGTGGCAGAGACATCAATTTCTGTCTCAATATACTTTTATTATTTTGTGTAGGGAGACATCAATTTGTATCTAACTATTCTTTCTGACAAGTAAATTGCTATAATGCGGATATTATGTCATTATTTTTTTGGATATTTCACTTGGTCCATTTATTTTGCTGGGAATGTGGTTTATTTCCCAGTTTTTGTTTGTTCTCTTCAAACAATTACACAAGGAACTAGGAAGAGGAAAGAAGAGACTGAATTATGAGTTTAAAATGTACTTTTCTCCTTGGCTCTACTAGCTCAAGATCCCAGATAAGAATATGATTGATGGATCGTGTCTGCTGGATAATTTGCTGAAAACTAGGAAACATGCTGCATGTATTCCGCCTTATTTATGTCCTTTCTAGCTAAAATTGCATATTTTGTCAAGGCTCCCTACTGTTACATCAAACAGAAGGAGAAGGCAAGAAGAAGAGTGTTAATTGTCTTAAGAAAGTTGTAAGGTAGTCTTGAAGTACTTCAGAACACCCGTGTCATTCTCATAAAGTAGTGAGACCTTTCTCTCCCTATCTCTGCAGGTAAAGGTTGCTGTGCAGTATATGCGACGCGTCATTCAGAAGAAGGCCAAGTTTGATATCATGAGCCTTAATTGCTTACAGGTACCTGAGCTCATGACTGTGTCAAGTATAATCAGTTTGGCCTTTGAAGTTGATAAAAGCTTGTTTGGTTCATGTAGTTAATATATTTATAAATGCACTTAATTCTGGGAGAACATATAACTAAGCTGAGTATTACAACAGGCATGAATCTTTTCTACTATGCACGTGTCTGATTTGGATTAAATAGGTACTAATCATGATGCTTCAAAATTTTACCGAATCTGGCAGGTGGCTCCTAAAACTTATATTCCTGCTCTCTTTGGACATGCTAAGGATGATAAGTTCATTCAACCCCACCACTCTGATCTCATATATAAGTCATATGCGGTACAAAATATATTGTAGATCTTTGAAGTTACAATGTGGTGAATTATGCATAATCTGTTATTGTTCTTTGTACAGGGTGATAAAAATATTATCAAGTTTGATGGTGACCACAATTCCTCCCGGCCACAATTTTATTATGATTCTGTGTCCATATTCTTCTATAATGTCCTACACCCTCCCCGGCTTTCACCAACTTCAACTAAAATAGAGAAATATTACGATCTAGGCGACATCAAGGTCGGTGCTGGAATGGATGAGGTAATTTTTCACAATTGCATTGTACTTCCAGATGAGAATAAAAACTCATTAATTATCCAAGATTTGAAGTTTAGCTTATTTCTTACAAAGAATTATATTTAGCTGGTGGGTTCAATGTAAAAAAATATTATCTTTTGTGTCAATAAAGCAAAAAATACATTCCTGACAAATTTGAAAGGAGAAGAAATCAAATTTGTTATATGAAATTCTTGGTTTTTTTTTGTTGGTCAAAGCGGGAGGAGATTTTGAAAGATCTTATAGTTTTTGGCTATTGTCTTCGTTCACCTAACACCACCTATGTGAGCTTTGCAACATGTAATCAGTCCCAAAACCAGATAAAGGATATGGTTTGCAGTATATTGACGGCCAGCATGAAAATATTCTTAATATGTTGAACCCTCTAAATACTATATTCCTAGGAACATGACAACCTAGACATGCACTACATGAGTACCTATATGTAGTGTTAAATAAGCAACGGGGTCCATCACATTGACACATGGGAGCGAAGGAGTATGAGCAATGGTTCAGACACCAGGTGTGGGTAAAGTAGTCCCACCTCATTTATGCCAAGATTTGGTGCAATGGTACCATACCTTTTGGAACAGATGGAGTACCTAAATTAGTGATGCGGAGAATCATATCTTGGCTAAAGACTTTTCTAGCTTATGTGAGCGGGGTTTTGGATTAATCTGGAATTGTATAATTAATTAGAGAATTATCACTTTGTCTCGAAGCTAGTTTTCTAGATTATGTCGGCTTGTATAATTGTTCAGAGAAGAGTGTTCATAGGACGCGCGCAATTTGACTAGGCATAGTTACCCTTTTTTTGTGGATAACCATGGTGTCCGGGCTAGCTTGCGCGCACCTACACTAATTCCACGGGGTACGTGCCACCTCCTACCAGCAACAGGTACCAGGTAACTCTATCCACCAAGGTTTGGATAGATGGGAAGAAATCACCTAGTGTTTTTTGCTTCCACTGAGATTTGAACCTTGAACCTGAGACCTCATGGTTCTCACCCACTTCATTGACCACTAGGCCACACCCTTGGGTTCTTAAAGGCATAGTTACCTTCTTAACCTTGTAAGTAGCAAAATGACAAGTGATTTCATAAATCCATGAGAGCATCCAAGAGGAGAACTTGTCTAGCTCCAAAGACCCCTTAGCCAATTTATTTGAAAAAAATGCATCTTGTTAGTTGTTACCTTATCCAAAGTGGTGTAAGATATATGTGTGTGTAAATATGTACATATATGTAATATGTATATGTATGGCTGCTTACGAGTAACTCCAGAACTTCTGCATTGCAATCACTTCAATTTTTGAGAAGTAGTTGGAACAATGACTAACTTGGCTGTCATAAATTCTCCACACTACTGTGTATTACTAGTAGTTTCTTGACTGTTTTATCTGATGTTAACGATGTATATTTACTTAAGTGCTGTTTTAACACATGCAATCTGATGCAATATTTTTGGTGATTTGTTCCTAGAATCTCTTATATGAGATAATTGCAAGTCTTAGGAATGTTACTTCTGATACAGCAAGCTCTTCATCTGTGCCGCCTAGCATTTCAACAGCAAAGTCTGCTGCCGAACTTCTTTCTGACATTGCCCCAGTCGCCAGTCTAATTGTAAGAGTTCTCCTTAACTATCAAGTTCCGATTTTCTTCCACCCCTATCTCTTCCTCAATGAGGTTTTCTCTATGGCGGTGATGTTAAGTTGCTTTACTAAAAGTTGATTGATATGTGTACTGATTACAGAATCCATTAACTAATAAAGGAGAAGAACTCATTGGTCATGACACTCCACAAACAGAGGTATGTGTTTTAGCACAGTTTACTCTTAAAGGTGTTGACTAGTCGATTAAAAAGATTAAAGCATTAGCTTGCCTTATACTTTAAGAATAAGTAGAGCTCTTAGTTCCCAGAGAGGTTCTTTTTTCTATTTGGAGAAGTAAAAAAGGTTTTCTCTTTCAACCAAATAAGTGGAAATTCTTCAGTGCAATCAGTATACAGATCCTTAGCCTCATATAATGTTAGACTTAGGAGGAGGAAATTAAAGGAGCAATACAATTTTACAAGTGCCTCTACACAAAGGGAGAGTTGAAGACCGACACTAGATGGAATTTTATTTCAGAGCATCAATATGGCAGAACCAAATAAAATTGGAGAAACCTTTTGAAAGAGAGGAGGTGGAGGAGGCAGTGGAAAACAGAAGGAGATAGAACGTCATTGGTGGATTCACAATGGTATTATTTCATCATTGTTGTGATATTTTCTGTGATGATTTGATGGAATGATTAGAGCACTTCTACCAGACAGGCTCTTTGAGAAGAGTCTATTTTATTATGCTCACCCCAAAGAACAATGAAGTGAATGATTTAAAAGATTTCATATCCATTGGTTTGGTGGAGAATATTTGAAGAATTTTAAAGCAGGTGTTAGTTAGCAAATTCATGGTTGATATCCATCTATAGATATCAAAAAATATTAAAAGAAAAATTTTGTTCGACACTTGGAAAATTGGCCCTTCGTTTTAGAAGGCTGGAATATCAGGTTGATGGCAGTTTTAAGTGTTTTAGAATACAATACTCTTCTTTGGTGCTGGTTTTGGTTGCTTTTCCCTATTGCCAAAATTCCAGATATTCTGATTCTCAGGACAAGCAAAGTGGCCAAGATGAGGACTGTTGCTCTTACACAAGCTCAAACAGAGAGAGTTGGGGAAGGTGCTCATCTCTGGGAAGTGATGCTGAGATTTCTACAGATTTTGTAGATGCCATCGGTGGCAGTCAGGTATTTATCTTCTGCCCCCACTCTGATAATTCGATGTGAATCCACATTGCCATACTTGTAAATAGCTATTTTTTATTTGTCAACCCTGCAATTTTATTTGTCAACCCTGCAATTTCTTATAAAATGTAAGTTTGTACCTCCCTCTTGAGGGTGGCGTTATTTTCTTGGAAAAATTGGCGAGGAAAAGCACTTTCAATCAGTCATTTTCTCTGGAAGACAAGTGGAGGAAAGTTTTCTTCTTTACTTCTTTCAATTTGTCTTACATATAATGACTATAATACTTAGGTATTTATAGATACTCTTCTAACATGTACTAATCTAAGTACATGTATCTTAATTTCATCACGTGCTTCTCCCTTTTTCACAAATGCATAGGCGCTCCCCATGTTCACAGTCTGGACATGGGACCCAAATTTAGTCAGCAAGAATAACTCACCTAAATACAATAAGATTTTAGAAGTGCTAATGCAAGAACGAGAGGGAGGATAATCCCGCACAAATAACGCAGATTTACTTTACACACCTGGGTTTCCTTTTTTCTTTTTAACAAGTGCTCACCTGATTTCATATTTATGTTCCACCATTAATTGACATCGAAGTAATTTCTGGAAACCTGCCGGTGACTAAGAAGATTCTACCAATCAAAAGCTCATGTACACGTGCATTTAAGCTATATATTACAACTAGGTTAGAGTTGATTGACCAAAAATAAGTCTCGTTTCTCAGATATATAATTGAAGACAGTCTTATAAAACTGCGATTTTCTTGTCCTAAATTTTGCCCATCTACATGTATGTGTTCATCCTCAGATACTCTTCATGGTTATTATTTCCCTCTATCCTAATCTTATGGACCATACGCTATTTGAACGTAAACTGTGTAAGTCCTAACCTTTGACATTTGACCATGTAAGATTTCTTTTAATTTCTAGTCCCTAAATATTATTTATTCATGTTCGATATCACTCTGAAAGACGGTCACATTAACCCTCTAAAAAGGAAAGAAGCCAAGACACTTCGGGATTGATTATGATATCAGCTGAATGAAAAAAAAACACCACTTGTTTGATGATATAAAGTTCAAGAGCCATTGACTTGAGTCTGTTTCAACCAATAGATTTTATGCTTTACTGGTATACGCTTCTTGATAAACAGCTGCAAGTTTCTGCTTGAGTTGCAGATTACGGCCGATGTGCTTGCGACCCCTCTTTGTGATAGGCAGCATACTGCACTGGACTCATCAAAGGACGATGAAAAAAAGAAAGCTCCACAAGTTACAAAGAAATCCAAGCGTGAGAAGTTTGAAAAGTTGGAGGCGCTTAGCCAGCGATTACGGCTTTGCTTTATGAAGAGATAGGAGATACAGCTCCTCCTAACCATCTTCTGCCATTGACGAGGATGATCGGTAAAGTTCATTTTACAATTCTATTCAAAAGCTCTGTTCTGTAAATGGGGAAGTTGGTAACTTTTTCTTTAGTGGCTCTTGCGTGTATGTATGGCTAGCAATTCCAGTTACAATTTTATACGCAATAGCTTAGATTTATGTAACTAATTATAACTCATTCTTATAAAGTTCAATTTGTTGCCCATTGGTTCAAGGAAACGCCAATGCAAGTAAACCACCTCATGTTTCCCTTTTCTTTCAAATGTTTGCCTTTAGTTTGATTGTGAAGTCAGCTTAATTATATGGTCATTAGTAGAGAAAATTCTTCAACAGGAAGATGGATTCTTTAGGTCTGAGATAAACAAGAGATGCACCTCAGACTGTTGAGGAGCTCAAAACGGATGTCCTAACATGCATAATCTTCTCTGTCGATATCCCAACCACCTGGTTGTCTTCACAATGTGTGTGTATATTTGTACAATATGAACAACTGCTTATTGACAATTTTTGGCTGTAACGCAAATACATGTGACCATTCTCGACTGAGTCGATATAATCAACCTTCATTGGGTATTTGGAGGAAAAGGCAAGCATATCCCCAACCCAAGAGAACTTGAACTTCATGCAAACATTCTGCACAAGCAAATGTTCATTTGGTAAACTGAAGTATTACCTAACATGCAGTCAAAGCAGTGAAACCTGTTAACGAGAATTATGACAGCAAAGTAAATTGAGACACTGAAAAGCAAGATATAAAGCATTACTCGCATCTCAATTTTCTTCCCTTTTAAGGATTTAATGTTCAGGAGGTGCAGTAAGAGTTAGAAAATCATCAGCTTGCATTTACAGCTTGACAAGTCCGAGGCCCAGCAGTATTCCCAGAAACCGCAATATGCAGTTTGCGAATCAATGGCTGTGGACAAACTTAGCACTTATCTCTTAGGAAGAGACATTTTGAACATTAGAGCTAGTAATCCCAAAGCGATTAACTTGTAGCAGACGAACACCTGACGATATCATATCTGCTTCACCCCAAACAACTGACGCATGTGTTGAATCTCCATTCGGTCCTCGTTTTTTCCCTCCAGTTGAAGTTCCTTCTAGGGGAAGTCCAGCAGGACTCTCATGCGAAGTTAAGCAGCTTTCAGTGGAACAATCCGTGAATTGTGGATGGATTCTGGGCGATACTTCTTCTGGACCATGGACTCCAACAAGATTAGCAGACTCCGAGGGGCATAATCCAAGTGGATTACAAAGAGGGCTAACTTGTGTCCTTGTTCCTAATACTTGGCAAGTCTCTTGATCATTTTCAGTAACAACACCACCAATGAATTGATCAGCAAGCATTTTACAGGCCTTCTCCAGCATGCTAATATATCTTTGTTCAGCATCCTGCCGAATTTGCAAGTGCTTCTCAGCCTGTGTAACAAAAAGTATAAAAAGTCACCAGCCAGAATACCTTTGGACTGTAGTCCATAGATAGCAAATTGAATTGCATAATGTCATCTGGCCACTTCCTCTTTAACCTTCAAATTATTCATTTGACCCTAGTCCAAGCATATTTTACCAAGCAATTATCAACTATCAATCCCCATAGACTAAGAACGCGTTTATCTGAAGAACTTTTTTTGAAAACGTTTATTAAAAAAGAAAAGATTGTCAGGTAAATGTGTTCTGAGCATAAGTGTCTAAACTCAACTCCACGTATTTATTTTGAGAAACATCCAAAAGCAATTTACTCATCCAATGTAGTGCAGAAAACTTACTTCAACTTGCAGGTGCAATTTACTTTGCACTTCCATCTGAGCTCTCAATGCCTCCTTGACTTCATAACCTCTGAATACATTATCCAATCCTTAAACTAGAAGGTGCATTTCAAGCAAAGCTTAAACAGAAGCATCACTATATAATTTATTGTGGTTAGGTAAAAAAGAAAGTAGTAGTAGTTGTCTTTAGTTATAGGGTGAACCCTTACTCATTCAAGTCCGATGCCGGCAACTGTTGAGGAGTACCACCAGAACAAGGGCTCTCTAATGAATATGTAGCTGTAAGTCCTTCAATGAAGAACAAGAATCCAGTTTCAAAAGAAAAGAAAAATTCAAAAAGAGCTTCTTCCTAGAGCCTTCTGAACTGATCTCTCTCACACATAAACATCACGGTGTCTTCTTGGCTATTTAGTAAGCTTCACACATCACAGCCCAAGTTTAAGCTATTCTCCCTGCATTTCTCCATTTTTTATTTTTCGGCTTTTTTCTTGTAAGGAATTTTTATTGGCTAATTTAAAGAAGTTAGGGGATTAATGGAGTTGCTGGAGTATACTCCAAATGGTATACCATTGTCCCTGAGCTATTCCTTCCATGTGAGGGGGAAGGGGTAGGGAGCTGTTTATATCAATATATATATATCTCAGCTAGGCAAATTTTAAAGCTTACTTAGCACATATATGCCTAGAGACTTGTGAAACTACCAGCGCAACCATGTCTCCATTTATAGGAAAATGGGAGTCAACTATACCTACCATCTTTTGAAGCCTCACCGAGATCTTTCTGAGATAGCTTACCTAGTCGATATTTCTGCAATGAACAATGACAACATTATATTTAAAAATTGAGCAAAACATACTTTATTTTAGCTCAATAGAGAACATTTAAGGTTTTGCTCCCCCCACCCCACCTCTTCTTACATCTGTGAAATCAATGAAGGATGTGGGGTGGGCTTGTGAGGCAATAAGAATATTTAATGCATTCTAATAGACCTGAAGGTGACTCTTTAGGTGGAAGAGGGTCAGTCCCTTGACACCCATTGTCCGCATTATCGCCTTTGGCGTAGCTTCTGCAATTGATATTCATAGCATATGCATGAGAAAAGTTGGCGTTCCAGTAGTGAGATATCAAGTGTGCAACCATTATATTAGCAAGGACAAAGTTCCTTCCCCC